GACAGCATGTTTGATGGTGACACCTGGTGTTTGTTGGTGAGACAGCATGTTTGATGGTGAGACCAGGTGTTTGTTGGTGAGACAGCATATTTGATGGTGAGACCAGGTGATTGATGGTGAGACAGCTTGTTTGACGTTGAGACTAGGTGTTTGTTGGTGAGACAGCTTGTTTGACGGTGAGACTTGGTGTTTGTTGGTGAGACAGCTTGTTTGACGGTGAGACTGGGTGTTTGTTGGTGAGACAGCATGATTGATGGTGAGACCTGGTGTTTTTTCGTGAGACACCATGTTTGATGGTGAGACCAGGTGTTTGTTCGTGAGACAGCATGTTTGATGGTGAGACCTGGTGTTTGTTCATGAGACAGCATGTTTGATGGTGAGACCAGGTGTTTGTTGGTGAGACAGGGACAATAAGAATATTTGGTGTTGACGCAAGGTGTTTGTTGGTGGGACAGCATGTTTGATGGTGAGACCAGGTGTTTGTTGGTGAGACAGCATATTTGATGGTGAGACCAGGTGTTTGTTGGTGAGACAGCATGTTTGATGGTGAGACCAGGTGTTTGTTGGTGAGACAGCATGTTTGATGGCGAGACCAGGTGTTTGATGGTGAGGCAGGATGTTTGATGGCGAGACCAGGTGTTTGTTGGTGAGGCAGGATGTTTGATGGTGAGACCAGGTGTTTGTTGGTGAGATAGCATGTTTGATGGTGAGACTGGGTGTTTGTTGGCGAGGCAGGGTGTTAGGTAGTGAGGTTGTGTTTGGTAGTGAGGTAGTGTTTGGTAGCGAGGCAGGGTGTTAGGTAGTGAGGCACTGTGTTTGGTAGTGAGGCAGTTTTTGGTAGTGAGGCAGTGTTTTGTAGTGAGGCAGTGTTTGGTAGTGATCACAAGCCTATTTACTATCTACAGTGACCACTTTCTACCCTCAAATGTAATGCTGCCAAATTTACTGACCAACAATGATAGATTCTGACAGGTGACAAACAGATGACTGACGACAGACATAATGTATGTCATCCACACAGGAAGTCATGCATAGAAGATCACCGACATAATGCAGCTCAACAATGTTGATGACATCCCCATGAACACAGTCGCTATGACATAACGGGGATGGAGCTGTAACCATGTCTCCAGCAGAAACACTGTCAGGGGTTGGTCATGCCTGATGTTGCCTAACACACAATACTAAGAATACTGTGGAGTGTGAATGTGAGACCCATGGCAGTACACATCTATGGATCATTATTGTTACTGGTATGTAGCATGCACTTATCATACCTAAATGATGTCTGTAAGCTGCTGCGGCAGAATGATGGATGGGAACATCTTTGTTTGAACAAGACCGAGTGAGCAGGAACATTAAAGCAGATAGGTTTCATAATCAATCACCTGTCAGTTTAGATTTGTTCAAGTCAATTAAACATGGTTCATAAAACTGGTTTCACATGTTATTTACCTACAACACATCACACAGCAACTGCTGTTTTCCATTATATTACGAATCATATTCATTGTCTGATGACTTGCATATTAATTTCAGAGTTGTGTAAAGTTTCCCGGTTTATGAAAGAGTCCTGAATAGTTTAGTCATGTGAGGCTGGATAATTGCAACAAACAATACATTTCATTACAGTCCATTATGGACAATTGATAAGGACTAGGTACCGAATCAATCATCAGAACACCGCACAAGACAAGAACTGCACATTTATTACCAGTTTGGGAATACATGAAAAAGCACCAAGAAAACATCTACCCAATCTATATCAGTTAAGGGATAAACTGTGCAATTTAAAACCTGTAATAAGGTTTCCACAGCCATCATAGGGTTTGAATCACAGGCCTTGAATGGTATGCACGAGCTGCTATAATTTTACGGATGACTACTTTCTTGTAAGGAGTGTTTTCATTCGAGGCTGATGAGGGAATACAAGGTTCCTTGGTCATTAATATTGAGGATAATATCATATCTTAGACCTGGCCAGTGGAATTACTTGTTTTACAGATCTGACTTTTAGCCATTAGGACAAAAATTAAACTTTTGTCACAAAAATGTGTCATCAGGCTCACATGTCAGGGCAAAATGCAGGTGGAACTGCACAGTCAAGCAGAGGCTCCTGGTGTGTGCCAGAATCAAATATTATAATAAAGGTCTTGAAATTTCATAAAGTGTACTCGGTTTGGGGTTTGCAATTTGGAAAGATCAACAAATGTTTTCACTGAAGAGGGCCACACTGCTTATCCAGACCACCTGAAGAGGGCCACACTCTTCCTCTGCAATGCTTTAATTTGCCAGTTGGCTTTAAAATCTACAGGCTTTAAAATCTACAGGCCCATTTGTTAAAGTCAAACATATAAAAACAAAATAGACTACACTGTACACAGTTGCACACTGTTTCTACAAAATCAATTAGCGAAGCCTATGACACAGAGAGACGTTTATATTTCTTAAAGACTGGTGTTGACATTCCTATGCGTTAAGCGCTGAAATACCAGGAAGTGAAACTGTAAGTTATCGTAACATGATGGATCATGGATGAATAAAGTTAAAAAAGAAAAAAACAAGAGAAAGATTCCAGGCCACATGGGCCTGCAGATATTTGAAACTGCCGGCCCGATACAATAGCAATTATTTCGAACACTGCCTCTGAACCACCTGAAGAGGACAGTTCTTCCCCTGCCCCGTCTAAAGAGGACCACACTCTAAAAGAGGACCACACTCTTCCCCTGCCCCGTCTAAAGAGGACCACACTCTTCCCCTGCCCCGTCTAAAGAGGACCACACTCTTCCCCTGCCCCGTCTAAAGAGGACCACACTCTTCCCCTGCCCCGTCTAAAGAGGACCACACGCTCCACACCCTTCCCCTGCCCCGCTCTAAAGAGGGCCACACTCTTCCCCTGCCCCGTCTAAAGAGGACCACACTGCCCCATCTAAAGAGGACCACACCCCTGCCCCCTGTTCCCCTGCCCCGCCTAAAGAGGGCCACACTCTTCCCCTGCCCCGTCTAAAGAGGGTCACACTGTTCCCCTGCCTCCCTGTCCCATCTGAAGAGGGCCACACCTCCTCTGCCCCACCTATTGTATCAGAATAGAACTGACACCAGAAACAAATTTAGGCTTTCTGTAAACAGCATTCATTTGATGAAATGCTTGATTTTAGGAGATATCTGTCCAACAGAAATAGAAATTTGGTGACCTCTTAATTGTTGATAGCTTTGGAAAAGATAATGTTACAAACAAAAAACATGAAATTGATTTTTAACTGTCTACATGACAACGGATGAAATGGTTTGGATCTGGCCACTGTAAACCTCTATTACACAGAACAATGTGTATGCATGCTACTGTGACAATACAAACAACCATGCACTGTATTCAGGTGTCTTGTTTCACACTGAATTGTCTAACACAAAAAGCTTATGCCAATAAATTTTAAAACATGCTGATTTACAAAATATCTAAATCCACAAACTATAAAAAAACAAAAAATAATTGCCTTTGATGAAATTTGTTTTGCAAGTGCAAATTGTTTGTGTGATGTATATCCTCTACCGACGTCCTACTCTCCTGACAACAAAGGCCAACATTCATTTGCAGTTTCATGGCAAAATACATTAATGTTGGTCAATTTCACATCAGTGTTGATATTTCACAAGATGTAATATTTGATGTTGCAGTGAAATCTCTTTTGGGAAGTAGAAACTGACATTGATCTGTATAGTTTACAGGGAAACGTCTGGTGATGGCATTCAGCAGGTAGAAGTCATTTCATTTAGTTGGCACAAAGTCAGACTAATTGCCCCTGTGGTATTTATGTGGACATTAATAAACTCGGGTGACATTGTTGAAACTACTGAGCAGTCTCTCGGTGTAATTCTGGTGGTGGGTATAGTATTACTTGGCTCAGTAACCTGGAGGTCTGGAGCTGACTTGATGTGTCCTTGTGTCCCTCTGTCCCGCCTCGTGGAGCAATGCTCATCTGACATACAACTAGAGCTGTGACGACATATCGTAGTATCGATAATCATGATACTTTTTCTGACAATAAATATATCAATACTTTTTTCCGTATCGTGATATGTATTGTTGACCTTAAAATTTTCTTGTTATCAAAATACAAATTTTTAAAGAAAATAACTAAAGATAGCATATCGTGATATGCATCGTATCGAATCGTCATCGTTCCATGATATCGCGATACGTATCGTATTGTGAAATTTCTGTATCGTCACACCTCTACATACAACCCACTACATTTGACAATGCGGTGTATTTTATTGCAATTAGTGAGTGAGTGAGTTTAGTTTTACACAACTATAGCAATATCCCAGCAATTTCACAGTGGGGACACCAGAAATGGGCTTCACACATTGTACACGTGGGGAATCGAACCCTGGTCTTCAGCGTGATGAGCGAACGCTTTAACCACTAGGCTACCCATCGACCTTATTGCAATTACATGTGCGTGTGTCAGGTGTATCAGGTGGGTGTGTCAGGTGAGTGTGTCAGACGTGTGTGTGATGAGTGTGTCACTTTGGTTGTGCTTGTTCACAGGTTTAACATGGTTGCTCCTCAGACACCACACATTGACCAATCTTGTTTTATCACCGCCAGGCAGGGCTACAAAAAGTAGCATCCTACTGCATTTTCTAGTAGGACAGAGGTAAGGATCAAACAACATAACTTCTGCGCTCTGGGCTGATGTTCCATCCACTTGACAACGGAGGCAGTCAACTACATCACAGCCAACACATTTACAAAGATGATGATTAGGGTAAACATGGATTCAAACCCACTTCCAGTCAGTCTTCGGTCCTGGGAGCAAGTTCACCCTGGTAATTTCTGCACAGAGACTTACGATTGTGGCAGCAATCACTACAATCACTTCCCACACTTCTGAGCAACATATCCATGGAAAACGGAACAAAACCCCTCTGTAAAGCATGACAGTCCCTTGCATGGATGGATGGCCTATCCACCTCTTAAAGGTATACAAACGTACCTGGTAATTTCTTCTTTCAACTTGCAGGGGTCAGCAGCGTAGAACTTGACGCCAAAGTAGAATGTGTAGGGTGTGCTGCTGCCTGCAAAACACCAAGCCATTCAGATCAAACTAAATGTTTGTAAATGTAAACGGAAACTTCTTCCTATTCAAAAATTTGTCAGTGAAAGTGAGTTGGCTTTTTGCACCACTTTGACTACCATGGCTTAATGCTGAATCAGCAATAAAGGGGTCAATGACAACATTATTTCAGTAGCATCATGTCAGCTAAATGTGGGAGCAGAGACCTGATCCAGCTGAATGTGGGATTTAAACTCAGGATCCAGACACATCTAAGGGACATAACTCCGTACATCATATGTCTGGGCCACCAAAGATCCTGCATTACATAAACTGATGCAAAATACAACTGAAATCAGCTCAGTTCAAACATCAACTACCAGCAAAAATATTTTCCCCAAAAAGCATCATCATTCATTTCTGGAAAGTATTGATTTCCACGAGCATTGTCATCATTTAATGAGTTAGATGATGACATTTGTGTGAACCCAATCTATCACCAGTAGCATTGTAGAAACAATTTATCTCATGTTTTTATCCTGATGTTAAATACACTGCAACTAATGCAACAGTTACACTATACATGACCTGAAGGATCCACTTCCAAAAGAAGGGCAGAAACAGTCTAATCTATCCAAGCCCATCTCTCCATTATTTCGCTCATTTGTTTAACATATCCTCATAACAGAGTTGTATTCCGATTCTAGAAATAAAGAACTTAGCTTGTCCATCTGTACAGATGGACTGCATATTCCAGTAATGTAGAAACTGAACGTAATGGTGATCAATAATCTTTTGTTCTTATCTAGACGCAGCATCTGCGTGTCAGAACACCCCGGTTGAGGACCATGAAGCTAATGCATACTGGGCTTTGATAATGTTAATAATGCCATTATCAAATGCATCATATCGAACCTTTACACTTTCTGTAGAAGTGATCTGTCTTCAAATGCAATTACTTAGTTCAACAAAATTATCCCTCTGAATATCAAACATATTAGTTTCAATACTTCCAATTGGGTGAAAATTGACAAATGCTTTTTGTGTCTCTCTCATGGAGTCCTTCATGTAGAGAAACCTTGATTACAAACAGACTTTCTTGTTACAAGAAGCCAAATGATTACTTGAGCCTATATTTGGGCTTGTTTCTTTAACCTCCAAAGAAAAGTATACAATTGCAAATGACACATCCAAAATTAAAATATTCATTCTGGCATGTCACTTCTTCATTTCATCCGGGAGAAAAGAATCAACCATCTCCTTGTTGGTAAAAAGTGTCAGAAAAATCTTCCCAAGTCCAAAATTGTTCTTTCAGTAAATAAATCTGGCAGCAACTTGCTGGCTTGACAAACAGTAGAAAATAGAATGTGTTTTCAGTGTGCTAGGGAATCTGCTTTGTAAAACTGCCTCCCCACGGATATACGGAGATGCCTAATTGCCTCTAAGTCAGCTGAACCACGTGTCAATCTCCCACACTCCTCATGGTACACACACAAAAAACTACACAACCAGTCACACCAAACATACCCACCCTCTCCACTCACAAACACACACCAACTCAGGCGCAGGGGCACATCAGGAGTGGTGGCTGAGCATGAAAATTTCATGCAGAAATTGAAAAAAATAATTACAATTGTACTTTTCTGGAGGTGGTTCATTTCTAGCAGAAAATTCTATGTGGGTAATTGGTCCCCTTGGTGTCTGTAGGCCAGTAGGCCGGACAATCTACCAGGGACAAATCATAGCGAATTCACTGTAGACCACACACTGGTTACAATAGGCTGAGTTGACAAGGGGTCATGGGTCTGTATAATCACCGAAACACATCACATCTTTGATTATCTAGAGACCTCACCTTTGAGTTGTGAGGCAATGGACTTTCCTTCCTCCAACCAGTGCTGAAAGACAACGCAACACACATAAAAATCAGATACAGATTACTAGCCTTATGAAGCATTACAATACAGCTGCTTCTTGCACAGGTAGAGGGTGGTGTCTCCTACAGGTAAAGGGTGGTGTCTCCTACAGGTAAAGGGTGGTGTCTCCTAAAGGGTGGAGTCTCCTACAGGTAGAGGGTGGAGTCTCCTACAGATAGAGGGTAGTGTCTCCTACAGGTAGAGGGTGGTGTCTCCTACAGGTAGAGGGTGATGTCTCCTACAGGTAGAGGGTGGTGTAATGCAGCACTCAGCAATATTCCAGCTACATGACGGCGGTTTGTAAATAATCGAGTCTGGACCAGACAATCCAGTGATCAACAGTATGAGCAACTGGAATATGATGACATGTATCAACCAAGTCAGCGAGCCTGACCACCCAATCCTGTTAGACGTCTTTTACGACAAGCATGGGTTGCTGAAGACCAATTCTAACCTGGACCTTCTTGGGTGCACAGTTAATGTTAATGTATGGCACAGGTGCTAAGAGAGCTTTAATAAGCCCTGGATGCACAGGTACAGATAATGGTGAAGGCCTCTGATGAGTGTCTGGCTCTGATATTTTACAGTTTTGTCCCTGCATCTTGTATCAGGGCACCCTGACCAGTTATCAGCTCACTACAGCAGCACATTACACCAGGTATGTGAAGCGTGGCCTGGGGAGCAGGTGCTCACAATGAGGAACTCAGAGACACCATAGGTGGGCTACCAAGGGCCTGGCAAGACCATCTCAATATTGTGATTGAGACTCTCTTGAAATGAACCATAGCCAAAACACAAGGGAATCCACTGCTTCCTAATCTTGAAGACAGGTCTTGAGGCGTGGACACAGTGCAAAGAGTTAACAGTGACTCAAGCCATGGGTACTGTTGCTCACCTTCAGACAAGAGCCATAGGCTGATGTTAGTACTACAAACTGCCTTTCATACTTGATTATATGAGTTCTTAATTGCACTACAACTGAAGCTGGGATGGTTGTGGCCTATATCAGGGATGTTGTGTTACTGTTGAAATACATCTGATGTGGTTTTCAGTTAGGCTCTTGTGAACTCGACATCTTTCGCTTGATAAAAACTTGTCACAAATCTAATCCTTAAACACATTCAAGAATATGAACAAGAGTTGTAATGATGCAACAATAAATCAAGGCTCATGAAATTTAAACACAAAGATGGCTTTTAGAAAAGCAGAAACTGACTTAATCTAACAAAACATCCATACTTACAGTCTGGCCCCGATTATCCACAAATCTCAATCCAAAGTAGTCTTTCTCAAACAGGTTGAGATGGTCGAACACCCTCTCCAGGAGCAGGTACCCCTTTGAGCTACCCTGGAACAAGAGAAGGTTCACTTAGTTATCTGTATGATACATGGTTCTTGCAATGAGGAATATATTGCAGAACACTGAACCAGCAAGTTTGGAACTGTTTGTGGGGATATTACAGAGGAATATCTCCAAACCAAATCGTGACACAGACATTCCTATCTAACAGATAGATGACACTCTGTGATGTAATCTTGTCATATCCCACTAACTCAACGCTTCATTAGTTGCCTGTATATCCATGGGATGAGGACGTCCCTGTGTATACCGATGGAGGCGAATGGGATACTAAGCACACTATTGTCAATCTTGTCTGTGGTGTTTTTGGATTATTCTCAACAACAGAGAGGTGCCACTGGGGAAATGTGTAATCAATTGTGTCCCTTCTTTACCAAATTGTCGCGGCTTATCTCTGTGTGTGTGTGTGTGTGTGTGTGTGTATGTTTCCTTCACTGTACACCTTCCAGCATCGGGTTTTGGATTTCAGTCGTAAACTGACAGTCAGCTTCAGTTTATATTCAGTCTTCACTTTCAAAGTAATAATTCCTATTTACAGTTTATGGCAATGATTGTTGTCTGAGAACGATTAATGAACACATTCTAAAGACCAACTCCCCAACACTGAAGAGATCCACTCAGAAATGGTTGTGTACTGAAGAGATCCGCGCGGAAAACTCCCCAATCACTGAAGACTCGAAAATGGTTGTGACCAACTCCCCAATCACTGATGAGATCCACGAGGAAAACTCCCCAATCACTGAAGAGTTCCACTCGAAAATGGTTGTGACCAACTCCCCAATCACTGAAGAGTTCCACTCAAAAATGGTAGTGACCAACTCCCCAATCACTGAAGAGTTCCACTCTAAAATGGTTGTGACCAACTCCCCAATCACTGAAGAGTTCCACTCAAAAATGGTTGTGACCAACTCCCCAATCACTGAAGAGTTCCACTTAGAAATGGTTGTGACCAACTCCCTAAGGAGTTCAGTGATTGTGACAGTGTCAGTAGAAGAAATTAACTGCTTTGTGTTTGTTCTATAACCTGAGACATACATGTAGTTTCTAAGTATTTCTTCAATTTGTTCCCTCCAAGGACCATACAAACTACCACCCTGTCCTTTATTCACGTTGCAATCAAGATCCAGCACAACCGTTGCCTTGTTCTCACGAAACTTCAAACCCTCCAACTTCCGACACCCAATCTCACTTCAAGTGTCTTGTCTCAGCCACACAGTAACTATTAGTACCGGTGCACACTACACTGCTGGGAAACAAGAGAGCTTCTCATGTCTCCTGATCTATTCGATATGTACAGATTTCGCATCAACCTATCTAAGATAATATTTGTAATTGCATACAATGACAGAGGTGAAAGACCCCTGCTGGTGGTGTTAGTAGATCTGTTTAAGTCAACACGATAGAGAAGACATCACAAGCAAACCATTATAGTGTAGCGAGAGTTGGTTACAAAAGGAATGTTATAGTGTACTACTGCGGTCACATGGTCAAAGCCATGTGTTTGCTCTCCTCCAGTCAAACCGTGATGAGATTAAAGATGTCGTGTCAGCTTCCTATATAAGCAGCCTGTCAACGCTGACATACATGGTGCTGAACAATTAACCCCATCAACACCAAGGTATTACACACGACAGTACATCACAGTGTCAACCAGCTGAAAACATCCCATGAAGCATGGGTGCAACATCGTGTGCTGTACTGTCCAATGTGAGTGAGTGAGTTTAGTTTTACGCCACACTCAGCAATATTCCAGCTATATGGCAGCGGTCTGTAAATAATCAAGTCTGGACCAGACAATCCAGTGATCAACAGCATGAGCATCGACCTGAGCAATTGGGAACCGATGACATGTGTCAACCAAGCCAGCGAGCCTGACCACCCGATCCTGTTAGTCGCCTCTTATGACAAGCATGGGTTACTGAAGGTTAATTCTAACCTGGACCTTCACGGGTATTGTCCAATGTAGATAAACAGAACAGGATATAATTATTCCATAGTGGAATATTATTTGTATACAATTTGACAACAGAGTGGTATTTCATTTATATTCGATACCATAAAAAGTGGACTATTGTCTGTATACAATACCGTAACTGGTTGATTTCCAACATACAGTGTCAATACTGAGTGATTATAATGTCTATGTTCAGTAGCATTGGTGTGGTACACTGTCCATATACAAAACCATTAAAGTACATTGTCTATATACTCAATATACAATACCACAACATGTATAATTCATAAATACAATGTAAATACAGACTGGCATATTGACAATGTACAATAACATAGATACATTGTATACATACACAGTGACAACTGGTATATTGCCTACATACAACATATAACAGAGGCATGCTGTGAACTATCAGGCAGGCTGGACAGCCACCTCAGTGGGCTGCCATAAGCTCCACATATCAAGGACTACCTGGTGTAGTGCCTGCACTGTATATACACTACTGGTATGGGAAGTACTACAGTCAAAAACACCCTTATGTATCTGTTCTGGCCTTGCCTGAAGCTGAACCAGAATGTGCCTACCCTCTAGCCTTCAGAGTCATTCAAATAATTAATCCCACTTCAAACTTTAAAAATATTTCATAAAACAGAAAGTGTATACAACAGAGCTCCTTGAAGTTGCTGGTTCACTCAACTATTTACAGCTTCACAACTGAACACTCAGTTGATTGTTGAATGCAAAACAAGTGCTTGTAAACAGATCATAATTCGAGCCACAAGAGGACAGCAAGGCAGGGATCTACCTTGTACATATCTACTTCAACAAAACAGATAGTCAGGCAGATTTATCAATCTATGTATGAACAAGGGATAGGAGTGAAGTGAATCTTATGCTAACTCAGAAAACAGGACCAGTCAAGAAATTGGACCTGGATGCAACAAGCAAGATATATACTACTCAAAACAAGTTAAGGGTCACAACTTTTAATGGCCATAACTACAAATATAGATAACAGTGAAAGGTAGCGATGATATAACAACTCAAGCCAACATTTCATTATAACAACAACGGGAGACAAAAAACAGCAGGAATGCCAGTAATTGCTGACGAATAAGGTCGAAGTGACCTACTGTCAGAAGTGAAAATGCAAACGCCAACATTGGACTAATAACGGATGTAACCACCTCGAGCAGTAAGACAAGCAGTACACCTCTTTATTACCCACGAGGTCAACGTATGGGTAGTTGCATATTAATCTCGTACGTCACACGAGTGTCGTATCGCGTTGACCTGTGTCGTAACGACTTGACCTGAGATTCTAACGATTTGATTGGATAACCGATGACCTCTCAATTAGGTCACATTCTGACATAACTATTTTTTCATTCATAACAAACACGTGAATTCATTCGTTCTACGACTTAAATGCATTGTGGGAATGTAAACATTGCGAACGTCGCCGTGTCGCTGTTTATTTGTGAGTCGAACTGAGACATTATATCCGTCGAAAAACATAAACGCAATGTTTCCACCAGTGATGTTAGCCGAATGAAGCAACTGGAAACCAAGAAACGAGGTGCTACGGAGTAGTTTACTGTAGGAGGTAGTCTGTCTCACAGTCCCTGAACCACATTAATTTCCCTACTGCCAAGCCCCTCTCTACGGTGCTAAAGCCCTAAATAAAGCAAGATTAGATTTCCTCAGGTTCTGAATCTCTGGTCTCCCTAGGGCTCCTTTTCAATATAAATGGGCTTGTTTGTTACTATCAAAATTATATATATTCAGAGACTAAGCCTTAGTTTATGTAGGAGGCTGTAAGAGGCGATGACAACTGACATGCATCGTGACGTCGGTTACCAAGGCAGTGAAGTCATTACAGTGTGAAGTCATGCAAATATTGTACTATAGTACAAAACTCTTCCGACCTCTTTATGAAACTGGTTTCGGTTTCAAACCAAAAAAATAACAAAAATACACTACTTTGTCAATTTAATGCATGTAAGACGTGGGTAATAAATAAAATACCACATTCGGTCTCTTTACATACGAATTATACGAAACTCGTGACCTTCCTATGTTATCCTTTCGCTCGGTCAGATACCATTGGAAGGACACTCGTTTCGTATAATTCGTATGTAATGAGACCTCGTGTAGTATTCTCTATGTCTCATACTGTTCACCAGACGTGTGAAGAAGGCTTGGGGTATTGCCTGCCATTCTGCAATGAGATACTGGGCCAGTTCTGCACGGTTGTTTGGAGGGGCGTGGTTGTTACGAAGCCGACGTCTTAACTCGTCCCAAGCACATTCCATAGGGGATAAATCTGCTGAATATGCCGGCCATTCCATGTGCTGAACATTGTTCTGTCTAAGGAAGTCGGTCACAACACGGGCACGGTGTGGTCAGGCTTTGCCACCTTCGAATATGGATCTGATGCCGATACGTTGTAAACATGGCAAAACAAGGGGTCTTATAATCTCCCGTAGATAGCAATTTTCGGTCAGGTTACCATTAATGATATAGAGAAGTGTCCTTTGATGAAAGGAAAAAGCACCCCAAACCGTGATACCCCCACCTCCAAATGGCAAACATTGGTTGACGTTAACATCAGCAAACCTCCCTCCCCGGACGCCGATACACACAAGTTCTACCATAATTGAACTGTAGAGTAAACCTAGAACCGTCGGAGAAAAGAACTGATGCCCACTGAGCACGTTGCCAACAAACATGGCGTCTATACCAGTCATGTCTTGCCGTCGTGTGTCGCTGAAGGAGTGGTGGTCGTACTGCTGGTCACCATGCCCGAAGATTGTTCCTCCTCAGTCGGTTCCTGGCAGTCTGATCAGATACCAGGGTACCTGTGGCAGCTCTCAGTTGGTCACGGAGTTGTCTGGCAGTTACTTTGCGTTATCGAAGGACCATATTTGTCAGGTATCGGTCTTCTCTAGGAGTTGTTGATCAGGCCTGCCAGAATGTGGTCGATTATTCAGCGTTCCAGTGACACGAGACCGTTGCCATAACCTTCCAA